CGGACAGGGTGACGCACACGCCATCCGGCATGCCTAAGCGATGACGTGCCGCTGACATTCGGCGACACTCTGATGTCACTCAGCCCACCCGAGGAGTGAGCGGTGAGGAGTGCTGCCGTCATCAGACGTCTCGGGGGAGTGACGTGCTGCTGGCGGGGGCGACCGCCGACGTGCACCGGTGGTTTGAGACGCCGCTTCTGAGCGGCATTCCAGGGCATATGAACACAGTCTGCCTCTCACCGGCATGGCAGAGCACATGTACACAGTCTGCCTCTCATCGGCATGTCAGAGCACATGTACACAGTCTGCCTCTCATCGGCATGGCAGAGCACATACTCACAGTCTGCCTCTCATCGGCATGCCAGAGCACATGTACACAGTCTGCCCCTCATCGGCACGCCACAGGCCTACTGACGCCCGGCCAATTTACTACAGGGTCACTGACGTCCCGGATTGGCAGGCCTTTAGACCACTGACGTGCCGGATCGATGGGCCTTAGGATAACTGATGTTCCGGTTGATGGGAGCTAGGATCACCGATGCCCCGAATCAATGGGCCCCAAAATCACTGATGTCCAGGGTCGACGGGCCCCAAGCTCGCTGATGTCCCAGGCCGACAGGTCCTAGGACCACTGACGTCTCGGGTTGACAGGTCATCAGATCGCTAAAGCAGCGGGTCGACAGACTCTAGGATCAGTGACGTTTCTGATTGGCGCGCCCTAGAATCAGTGACGTCTTAAGTCAACGGCCCCAGGATCACTAACGTCATGAATCGGCAATCCCTCTGATCACCGACCTCTCGAATCGAAGTGCCGCAAAATAACGAAAGTTTCTCATTGGCATGCATATGTATCGCCAACTTATGCCCAAAATGCCCAAAATTCCTGCAAGAGACTCTCAAAGAGTTGTACATCACATATACCTGCCAGCATGTATTGGCTCATAGGAAACAATTCAGCATATTCCAGAGGAAAAAAAATTGTACAGCGTCTTGGCTTTCAACACACAAACTTTTTATTACGAAACCGGCACGTTACCGACTGAGTTACTGAAACCGCCGATCATGTCTCGAAAGTCAGAAATTTACGGCGTACCGTGCACGAAAACTTTGACCTGGTGGATACGGTACGCCGTCTGAGTTTGGATTCTCTAGACAAACATGTTCAAGGGATCGGCTCAAGACCATTAAACAATTTTTCGTTTGATGCCGGATTTATCCAAACTGGCCTCCTAAAATTCGATCCACAGTCCGGTGAAGAGCAGGCCTTGACGCGCAAGCCCTACGGGCTGATAAGAAAATACGCCACAGGCTGGTTGTGCTACCAACATACTTCGGTGGGAGCTGACCCTGGGATCACTGCCGCCCATGATCAGCACACTCTGTGGGAAGTGACGCCCCAAGCCGCCACTCCAGGACCACCACCGACTCTTGCGATCGGCACACTGGAATCCCTTGCGCGTGTGATTGGCATACCACACGATCGCTACCTTTCGGATAAACATACTATAGGGTGACAACGTGGAAGGCGATGCATCCAACCCGAGGTGCGATGAAGTATTTCCTGCTGTCTCGCCCGAGTCCCCACGGTACGACCTCCGCAAAACGACCGAGGACGTTGGGGCAAATGTGCCTACATCGCAACAAGGACCGTTCTCCCATTTCAACACACGGAAATTTCGCCACAAGCCGACGGCGGCAGGTGGAATTGACGCGGGGATGGCTTTGTGAAGGCGTGTTCGATCGTCCCATTCCGCGGCACTCGTGACTTGCGACCCGACACAAGCCCGATCGACCTGCCGGCGCCAGCTTGCCATCACACGCGCTCCTGCTTATCTGCCTGTTGACACGGGGTTGCCATGTCAACCGGGTCGGAGCCAGCGGCGAGGCGGGTTGTGACGTCACGTTTGCGGGCCGGCCTTTCTCCGGTCGCCCGGCGCCACCGCCCTCATCCGCGCAGTGAGACACAGTACGTCGGGCGGGCAGCGTGCGCACGGACCCGGAGGACAACCCACACACACACACACGCCAGGTGAGAGCTCCTGTTGGCGTCGACCAGCTCCAGGGAGGGCACTCTGGTGATGCTGGGCAGCAGCCGTTGTCCAGGTGAATGCCGGCTCATTTCAGACCGGTGTGCTGCTTGATAACGGTCGGTGGGTGAGGTGGACTGTGGTAAGCGGTGGTTAGCGGCGGTAGCATGCCACTGCCAATTTTTTTATAGAGCTATGTACAGACGGTGGGCACCGGCAGCACAGAAAGGCAACTTGTGTGATATGATGGAAATAACACCATTCGGTGATAAATTGCGACACAGCAAGTTTACGATGGCAGGAGATGTCCAACACAAGGCCTTATGTCATCCAGTCATTTCAGCTACCGCGAAGACTATTTTCAAAAGGTAAGTACGGCCGTGATTGGTGGCTCACCAGCCGGCACGCAGCACGCAGCGTCTGCCGATGGTGGTGGGTCGTGCAGGCGTAGCTCATCACGAGGGCACCTTCATGGTGGTGGGTCGTGTAGGCGTAGCTCATCACGAGGGCACCTTCATGGTGGTGGGTCGTGTAGGCGTAGCTCATCACGAGGGCACCTTCATGGTGGTGGGTCGTGTAGGCGTAGCTCATCACGAGAGCACCTTCATGGTGGTGGGTCGTGTAGGCGTAGCTCATCACGAGGGCATCTCCATGGTGGTGGGTCGTGTAGGCGTACCTCATCACGAGGGCACCTTCATGGTGGTGGGTCGTGTAGGCGTAGCTCATCACGAGGGCACCTTCATGGTGGTGGGTCGTGTAGGCGTAGCTCATCACGAGGGCACCTTCATGGTGGTGGGTCGTGTAGGCGTGGCTCATCACGAGGGCACCTTCATGGTGGTGGGTCGTGTAGGCGTAGCTCATCACGAGGGCACCTTCAAGCGCTGACGTCCATAAGACGACTAACGTCTCATCAGCTAACGAATCATCAGACGTGGCGCAGTGTCGGAGACGGCGCCCTGAGACGTTTCCTCATACTGAGCTCCTAGTTGGGAAGATGGCTTACCGCAACAGAACTGAGTACCATTGCAAGCCACAACTGCACTTTACCAAATAAATTTAGAAACGCCCTCGATACTTGACCTCTGCCCCAAGCAAACATTTGACTGGAACCCAAATGTGGTAAGAGGCCAAGACTGAAAGGTAACGGGTACGATTACGAGGACCTTTACGACTGCGGCAGTCGGTTGGGGCCCCCAAGTCGCGGTTACCTATCGCTTGTGTGCCCCGCAGACCCGTCGTAAACAGGTCATTTGCGCTAATGGGGCCAAGTGCATGCCACTCAACACAAGAATTGTTTTACTATGTCATCGTGGGAGATTATGGCATGCGTTGTAGACAATTCTTTATTTAGGAACAGATAAGTGGGCATATTGGTATAATGCGGCGTGAACCTCACGGGACACGACAATGCCTTAACCTGACAGCACGGCCCTCAGCCTTAACGGTGTTGTCGGTGTCGGTGTCGGTTTAACGGTGTTAATGTTGGCGTTTTTCATCGCAGCTCTGTGCATCACACCAGACAACGATTGTTTTAGATGGGGCCGCTTGTTTGACAACAGCTGTCAGACACTTAAGTATGAATCAATATAGTTACGTGAGCAATAATTTGGATGTCCAGCACCATAACGGCTGCGACAAAAGTTACTGCTACGGCGCCGTTATGAAGATTTAGTGACTTGATATAAGGAAGAAAGACCTTCAGCTCCTGGTTTTTTGGCATTATAAGTTGGAAGTTATTATGGCGAGTTAGCGACCTCATGTTGAATAAGAGACGTTCAATACAGCAGAAGATACTGGTCAAATGACGTTACAACGCTAAAGAACTATTAAATTGACGCCATTCAATATTTCGAGCTGTGCTCATCCTCACTATCGTGGATGAGCCCAGCCCGAAATAGTGCACTGGGCGTAGACCTGAGCTTGCACCTGACCTCCCGGTCACTTTGCAGCTCTGAGATGTGACGCGGGGCCTTTATTGGGGTGTAACCAAGACGCGACCCGGATGACCTAGTGACATGCGCGCTCCATACTGCATGCAAACGCTATCGACGCGGGTGATAGGGCCGGTGTGGGCGCTGGCCTCGCCCTGCAGGGCCGGCCGCATCCGAATGAATCACCATCGCCAGGAGGAGCGGCGCAGGGGCCGCAGACATTGCACAATGCAGCCGTTAGCAGCGGCGCGCAAAAGCTGCAGTCGCGTGCACGAAAAACCCAGCCGGCTGGGAAGCCTCACCAAACGTGTCGGCCTGGGCCGCTCCAGGTCTGGTTGGCGTGACTCGTGCGGCCGTGAGTCGCGCCGGCGTGACGGGTGACGTGACGCGTGAAGCGTGACAGGGGCGGGTGGTGACGTGTCGCCCCACGGCCGTCTGCCCTGGCGCTGCCGGGGCGGCCGAGACTGCGCGGCTGCGGTGCACCCACGGTCGAGACGGCACGGAAACCACGCCGACACCAGCAACAGATAGACGCTGACGAGTGTCCATGGACACGGAACCGGCCCCTGCAGCAATGCATGCCGGGCGGGCGCGGCGCGCGGGTCCGCGGCGGGAGAAACTGCTGGTCTCCGTGTGATCGGACGGCTTTAAAGTAGCGTGACGGTAACCACAAGTATCCCGTGGGGCATGCATAGCAAAGGAAGGCAGGAATTCGATGAAATACAATGAAGGCTTCTTAAGTTGATTCGCATGTCTAGTGCAAACAAGTGTGGATTTAGTTGACCTGAGTCGAGCGGCTCCACATGGACATACCACTTCTGCACTTAGTCCTGTTGGCTGACTCATCCAGATTAGATCGATGACCAACCCTCTGAAGGCCGTTTGCACCAACTTTTATGTCCCATAATATCCAACTTAAAGCACAATCTACTGATTGTTAAATAGCTTGCAGGGTGTTGCTCTTCTCAGCACGCAAATACGTGATTAGGACGCGCAAGGCCGCTGGCGCCTTCTGAAATGAAGGTGGCCCCTCTGCTTCAGGATGAACCGCCCCGCCACCGCCCAGACACGCAACGAACAGGAGATGATGGAGAAATCCAAGCGCGCGCTGGAGACGGCCACCGACCCCGTGGAGAAGCTGCGCTTGCAGCTGCTGTCCAGGGGATCATCTGGCATCATCGGTTTTGGCAGGTATGGAAGCGTCTCGTAGAGGGCCCTGCTGCCGTGGTGTGTACAGCTGGGTACCGGGGTCTGCTGAGTACAGGGATCTGCTAGTGCAGGGGCCTACTGTTACAGGGTTCTGCTGGTACAGGTATCTGCTGGTACAGGGTTCTGCTGGTACAGGGTTCTGCCGGTACAGGGGTCTGTTAAGCACAGGGGTCTGCTTGTACAGGGGTCTGCTGGTACAGGGGTCTTCTGATACAGGAGCCTGCTGGCACAGGGGTCTGCTGGCACAGGGGTCTGCTCCCACAGGGGTCTGCTGGTACAGGGTTCTGCTGGTACAGGGGTCTGTTAAGCACAGGGGTCTGCTTGTACAGGGGTCTGCTGGTACAGGGGTCTTCTGATACAGGAGCCTGCTGGCACAGGGGTCTGCTGGCACAGGGGTCTGCTGGTACATGGGTCAGCTGATTTAGAGGCCTGCAGGTACATGGGTCTGCTGGTAGGGGCCTGCCATCGGCGCGTGTGACGCTCACTGATGATGCAACCGTTACCATTGCGGGGATCTCCTGGTAAAAATGAGGCTTCCATGTCGGAAACAAGAAGCTAGCCATCGCACAGAAACCAGCTTGGAAAGTGCAGCTTCGCTGCCTTGGTAGCCGACACCCCATCCTTTGCCGAAATGGCGTAATTTCACCATTTCCTTGGCAGATGCAGTCGGTGCACCCTTAATCCTCAATCATTATCGTCATCATCTAGGTAGATGCACTCGGTCGGGCCGTTGCGGTTCAAACACTTTTCTCCGCATTCTCTACACTTGCTCTCATGTCCCGGAGCAATCGCCTCACACTTACAGAGCGTGACGCTGGCGCAGTGCGATTCAACAAACGTGACCAGTCTCGGCATCACGACTCAAAAATGTCAAGATCCGTGGACAACGCTTCCTACCACCGCACCCTTCACCGGCACTGGACCTGCTGTCAATCAAAACGGCGTGACCGGGTCCACACGAACCGGCACCGACCGAGCGACAGGACACGCCGCGATGACGTCACGCGTCCGGGAGCGGCTTCCGGTCCTAGCGCTGAGTCACAGCTGCGTGTCGGCCGGTCCGCAGTGGAACTCTCCGCCTTCCGTCTGCCCTCCGCACCGAGGCGGACCCGAAAGGAATGGTCCATTTATGAAATGGGGCGTGGAGATAAGTTTTCCGGAGTGAAGACTCGTGGGTTGGAGCTGTAGGCTGTGAGATAGCATCTAGTCGCACTATGCTTGCATGCAGTTCAAGTTTAGATTATATATATATATATATATATATATATATATTATATATATAGCGTATAGAGCCAGCGTATACATAGCCAGGGACAGCGGGGCTGTCGCTAGTGCTCAGACTCTGTATACAGGACCCCGCTCCGACAGCGGGGCCGCCGCCAGTGGCATACTCCGTATGCAGGACCCCGCTCCGACCCAGCGGGCAGACCACTGGGCGGACGGTCTCACCAGGCATTTACGCCACATTTGCTCTCGTCCGGGGGAGCAGGAAAAGGCATTTCAGGTCGTCACAGCGAAATTGCAGCTCATAACAGCTCAGACCGTGACGGCAGAAGTTCTGTGGTGATGTGAGAATAGGGTTGAGTTCGAATTCGACATCGCTTCTTTCGATGCACCACCAGTCAGACGTTGCCCGGGGATGGGACCAGCTACCCCGCCCCGCCCCCTTCCTGTCCCGCCGCCATGAATCTGGACCACACTGCAGTAACGGCATGCGGCCGGAAGTCGTCATGAGCGGGTCGATGCTGCGGTGCTGTGAGCCATGGCGGGCCACCCTCTCGCCAGGCGGCCAGGAACCGCATGCCGCGGGACATGGCCAAACCGGTTGCTGCTCGATGTGTGCGGATGGCACCAAACCGGCATCGCTCCACGAAGGTCCGCCATGAACGCACGGGGGAATGCGTGTTGTTCAGACTGGCGGCATGTGGCGACCCGCAGACGCCGCCCCGCGCCGTAGCTGACTTTTCTTCCGTCCGGCGGCAGGGTGTTCCGTCGCATGGACGACGACAAGAACCGCATGCTGAACCTGGAGGAGTTCGGCGAGGGCATGCGGGACTCCGGCCTCAAGCTGAATGACGCCGAGCTCAAGGCCATGTTCCAGGCGTTCGACAAGGACAAGTCGGGCTCCATCAGCTTCAACGAGTTCCTGGAGAATATTCGCGTGAGTGGGTGCTGCAGCGAACCGCCGCTGCTGGACGGCTGGCGGCTCAGAGGCCGCAAGAGCGCAGCACGCCTTTCTGGACGACAGTTGTCGACTTGTCGCGACCGGGGGCGCACTTTGAATTGTGGTAGATAAATGTGATGGGAAGATATATTACCCCGCCCCAGGTCCACGCCAATGCAGCGCGGACCGTGCTTTAGTCACGGCGGCACGCAATTCGATATTAACCGTTTGTTGTTCGCGCAAGGAGAAAGATAGTAATCTGGCCCCGGTTGGTAACCTGGCCTCAACCGGTAACCTGACCTCGGCCGGTATCCTGCTCCCGGCCGGTCCGCGATCTGGTCCGGTACCCTGACCTCAGACCGTACCCTGACCTCGTCTGGTACCCTGCCTCGGTCGTTACTCTGACCTCCTCTGGTACTGCCCTTAGCACGTGCCCCGACCTCGTCTGGTGCCCTGACCTCGGTTGGTACCCGGACCTCGTCTGATATCCTGACCCCGGTCGTTATCCTGACCTCGCTTGGTACTGACCTCAGCAAGTGTCCTGACCTCGACCGCTACGGTGACCTCGGCCGACACCCTGACCCCTGACCTCTATCGCCGCCGACAGCCCCCAATGTCGGCCGCCCGGCGGAACGTGCTGATGGAGGCGTTCCGCAAGATGGACACCAGCGGCGACGGCGTGCTCAGTCTGGAGGACATTCGGCAGACGTACAGCGTCGACTCGCACCCCAAGTACATTAGCGGCGAGCTCACCAAGGACCAGATCCTCAATCAGTACCTGGCCAACTTCGAGAAGAACGGCACGGTCGACGGCAAGGTGCGCCTGGAGGCTTAGGAGCTCGGGGCGGGTCTGCCCCTCGAGGAGCCTCCCAACTCATTCACGCGGGGGGGTTACCAATCCCACACGAAACCCATTTCATAGACGGATGCATGGCATATTGTTACTAACGGAACAAGTGGGAAACGAGAGCCAAAAGCTCAACACTTCTGTTGCATGGAACCTAATCGCATCCACTGAAAGCATCAGGCGTCCTGCATGTTTCATTGTCCAAGCCCGGCTTGTTCACATACACCGCATTGTGCGCGAAGGAACCGCTCGTGCTTTCGCATCCACAGCGCACTTTTTGCCGGCCGCCAGTGAGACAGCGCCCACCCTGGTCGCCCTGCCGTGACACCATCTCCCAGCGTCCCATTGTGGCGACGGCCGCGCCCGCTCCGCCTGCCCGCCCTCGCGCCACACCGCGGCGGCACCGTTTTTACGTGGCGTCTTCCGGCGCGGTAAAAACCTCGCGATCCCACCGGCGAAAGCGGGTCACACGCCGCCGGCCTCCCATGGCGGGGCTCTGGGACGGCCTCCGCCGGCCTGCAGGTGGTGGGGCTCTTGGTCACAAGCCGCCAGCCTGCCGGTGGCGGGGCTCTGGGACGGCCGCCGCCGGCCGCGGGGTCGGGTGGCAGCGGGAGGGCTCACTGGTCTGCTAGGGTCGCTGGGATTAGCTTGGGTTGTGTGGACCACGCCGAGAGGTGTCTTCACTGCCGCTGTCGTGCGTTGGCATGTGGAGGAAATCGCGGTGTCTTCCGTCCCACTGTCTCACCTTGGAGAGAATGATGAGACTTAAGGTCCGGATTCAGGAACGACCGTCCGGCTGATTCCTTCCTAAAGCCAACGCATTTATCTGACATATATGCATGAAGTGTGGATTCCGCGGGAGCGTAGCAAACGTGTCGTACACTCACACACTCCCCTCTCCCAGCCTGTCTACGCCTCACTTGTTGACTGTTCCTGCCTCATTCAAGCCACCTCCGCCCTCTTTCAGCTAGCTTCTGCGAGGCCGCAGTCTCACCTTCATGAGGTCACCCTTGGAAAGTTCAGCGGTTTTTAAGAGTGCAGCCTTCGTCCGATTGACTGCAGCGATGCTTGTTTGGCCGAACCGCCAGATCCCACCCAAGGAGGCTGAGGCCCGCCAACGCCACTCGATCTTCCACTAAGGCTGACAGCCTTGCTCGAGCCATTAGATCTTCCTCTAAGGCTGACAGCCTTGTTCGAGCCATCAGATCTTCCTCTTAGGCTGACAGCCTTGCTCGAGCTATTAGATCTTCCTCTAAGGCCGGCATCCTTGCTCGAGCCATTAGATCTTCCTCTTAGGCTGACAGCCTTGCTCGAGCCAATAGACCTTCCTCTAAGGCTGACAGCCTTGCTCGAGCCATTAGATCTTCCCTTAACGCTGACAGCCTTGCTCGAGCCATTTGATCTTCCTCTAGGCGCACAGCCTTGCTCAAGCCATTAGAGCTTCCTCTAATGCTGAACCCCGTCTGGATTGCCAGATCTTCGCCTGAGGTTGAGGCCTGTCCGAATTGCCAGGTCATTTCACTTTGGCTGAACGGATTTCTAGTGAACCGATTTAAGCCCCTTTGATCGCGGCTGCTTACTGCCCACAGCATATTGAGACACGCGAATGCGGCAGTATGGCATGACATAACACTTGCATGCAGCCACGAAGACGTTAAGCATCTTTCTCGCCGGTGGTTCACAAAACTTGTATTGCATTCCAAGCCGTATCCGAACGAGAAGATTACCTCGACATCCGGTTTTACTTCGTAGAACGTCACATCGATAGATGGCACAGCATAACAGCGTAGTTTACTACTTCCACTGCGGTTGATGGACCAGCCGCACGCTACAGCCAACAGCCGCCTAACTTCAGCGCGATTGCCCCTCCCCCCGCCCCCCGTGAGGCACCGCCCTTCCGCGGTGGGGGACTGTGTGCTTCAATGATCACGCGGACGGTCGGGAGGCTTGCAAAGCGCCCTCTCTGTTCAAAGGAGAGGAGCAAGACCAAACGCGCTTTGCGCGAGGGCTCTGACTTCGGTCAAAACAGGTATTGGTAGCCCCTTGGCCCCAGTTTTCCAGTTTTATTTGGGTCTCACCTTATCCCACTGTACCCACGGACATCGATGCAGAGATCCTGGGCATGGAGCGGGCTGCCCTGCGGGTAAGTCGGGGCAGCCAGCCAACGCATAGTCCCGTGAATCCCGCGCTCGTCCGCCGCCAGTGGCCCGGCACATCAGCCGAGCCCGCAAGGCGCGCCAATCAATGCGGTGTACAGCCGCCGCCGCGCCTGGCCGGCATAACCGATCGACCGCCGCCCGCAGGTGACCAAGGAGGAGTTCATCGACTACTACTCGGGCGTCAGCGCCTCCGTCGACACTGACGCCTACTTCGACCTCATGATCCGAAACGCCTACAAGTTGTAGGCGGCCGGCCGGAGGCGGGGCTCGGGAGTCTGCACGGCCAGCGCGTGCCACACCGCGCCGGGCCCGGCCCGGCCGGCGGAGAACGGCGCCATCTTTGACTGGAGCGTCTGCCACGAGGTTCCTCGCCCAGACGTCGCTGATGGCTCGGGGAGGTCGGGCGGTCGCGAGGGGCCCGGCGGAAGCCACTAGCAGGCGGTGCCAACGGCGGCGTCCCGAGCACGAGCTTCAGCCGCCCAGAACGGGCCACTGACGATCAGGAGGCGCCCTGCTGACGCCCCGAGCGCGCCCCTGGACGCGTGCGGAATGCGCTTGATGTTCGGCAGGTACACCGGCATGTGAAGGCAGGGTACGTCGGAGCCGCCGCATCCCTTCTCCGTTAATTGCGGATGCGACGCTATATTCTCAGAGGCTTCCTGTGTGACGTCAGGTAGAATAACTGTGTAGGACTCTTGTCACTTGGTAACATATGGTAAGGTTCACTGGTTTAATAAAGGGCAGAGCCGGAGTGTGGTATTACTGTTGCTGCTCGTCGTTCAGTGATATCTCACTAATTCTGAGGGCGATGTCTAAAAATGCCTGGCGCAGCTTGTGGTTTCTGCCGCAAAGAAGCGATGGGTGCAACGTGCGAGATACAGAGGACCAGCACCGATCCAGTACTAGCCCCTCTCTTGGGCGGCGACTGTGGTGTGACTGGGGCGACGACCGAAACCCAGGCGTCAAGAGAGACTGTAACAGTCCAAGGCACCGCAGTCATTAAACCTGTGCCCGTAGACGTCCCGAGTCTATACAGGGAAAACCGCGTCAGCAACACCCAGTTTGTGTGCTGCTCGTAAACTCGTACTTCCAAAGGTTATGGGGACCGACACACACTTGAACACAAGCGCTTATTAAACAAAATAGTCACGCGACCCTGGGAACATCGCGGTGGTTTTACAACCTCGCGATCGTCAATGCGCCGCTTTTTGGCGGTGAAATCCTAGTCATGCACCGTGCACTTCGGTCACCAACATCCCCTCAACACCATCCGATCCCCGCAGCACGCAGCTCCCCAGCTAGCGCCGGGCGAGCGCTCACCCCAGAGCCCGCCATCGAGCACGTCATCAGTGCACGCGACGCCGAGGCGGGGCCGGCCGCAGCGCCACCCGTCCGTCCGACAGACCGGCCGATAATCCATGACCTCAATTTTCGGACCCTTATTAGCCCAGATGCAACAAAGATTACACTGACAGGCTGCAACCGACAAGGCATGTGCGCACGTACACAGCGGGGGCGAGGGTAGAGGTTACCAGGCAGCGGGCATGCATACAGCATGGCATCCAGTGAAGTTCGCTGACCGGTCTGACCTACACATGGCATGTGTGGTGGCCGCCGGCAGTAACGCGGCCAACGCCCGCCCAGACAGCGGCGCTCTCTACGTGCTCGTGCATCGATAACTGTTCAATAAGCGGGGCGTGTGGGCAAGGGAAGTCTATGGCGCCACCATCCTGGGCCATTCGTTTGTTGAATGCAGGGGGTTTAAGATCCGTCTGCCTAACATTTTACGAAGGTTAGACGGTGGGCAGTTCTGCAGGTTTCAGTGCCAGTCTTGGAAATGTCAATTTTGCTAGCATTGCGCTTATTGCACTCAAGCATGTGAGCAACAGGCTTTGTTCGCTCACTTACATGTAGCACGCCTGATAATCCAGTAAACATGGAGAACTGTTCATTTCTCCTGTTTGCTTTTTCTCTCCAGCTCTGGATCCCCTCACATCTACCATTTTCATGCAGCGCCGTTCACGGCGCAGTGAGACCTGTCTGGAGCCTACTGCAGGCCCTGGGTCGCCAGATGACTACACCCCACACGACGGCGCCTGCCGGATGCGGCACTGCCCCGCGGCCGAGGGCTTGTTGGATGTGGCACTGCCCGGCGACGCCGCTCGACGGGCGGCGGCGCCTGACTCTCCCCAACCTGCGGACACCGGCCCGCCGGCCCGCCGCTGCCGCCAGCCTGCAGCAGCAGGAACGCGCGGTGTCCGCCTGCCCGCGGCCTGCCCCAGCCGCCGACGCCGGCTCGCTCGCGGCCTGCCTCAACCGGCGCCGGCTCGCTCACTTGCTCCAGCCGGCGCCGGTTCGCTCGCGGCCAGACCCAACCGGCGCCGGCTCCCTCACTTGCTCCAGCCGGCGCCGGTTCACTCGCGGCCTGCCCCACCCGACGCCGGCTCGCTCGCGGCTAGACCCAGCCAGCGTCGGCTCCCTTACTTGCTCCAGCCGGCGCCGGCTCGCTCGCGGCCAGACCCAGCCAGCGCCGACTCGCTCGCGGCGGTGTGGACGACATGCACCGCTTCCCGATCGATAGGCCTGGCACATGAGTTCCGGCGAGGCACCAGCCGCCTTAGGTACAGCCTTGCGAGCAAACAAACATCCTTCACAGAAATCTATAAATTCTCAAGTACCGCGTCGCATTACCACTGGCAAGTCACCACAGTCATTGCCGAAAGGCACGGACAGGGCGGTGGGGTAACTGGCACATAGACACGGGGGCATCGGTGCACCCCGATCCATAAGGACGACCACGGCCTCGCCGCAAACAATGTCAATTGAACACTAAATTACCACCCTTTTAAGGCACAAACAATGGTCACATCCGACTTTTCCTTCACAGCCTAGCCAAACCGCCCCAAACACTGCGTAGTATACACTAATGGCGTTTGGCAAGCATCAGTCGGCACCTTAGCGTTGTGAAACAATAGACAATGCAATGCGTACATGCAATGACAGCTCACTGCAGACAATGATCGGCCATCAACGGGAACGTGACTAACGGCCGCGTGACCACGTGCCTGATCAGATACGCATTTATCAAACGATAAGGCAGTTGGTTTGCAACCCCGATCCAGCGATAATGACAACAATTAAATCACACCGGCTAACAGCAAGGCAAGCACGAACGACGTACAAAGGCAACTGACAATTACTAACCAACAGGGGGCTGTCGGCGCAACAAAAACGGCTCGCCAGCAACTAAGCATGGTCAGGTTCTTTCCTTCGGGGAAGATTTCTCGCAAAACATACGGCCCATTCGAAATACTGAACGTCTTGTGGTCTGAATCAGCCAAATATCTTGGGAAACAATACGTACACATTTGACTTTTATCTAAAAAAATCGTAATCATGTGACACGGTCCCAAAAACACGAGATCGGAGAGATCACAAAAGTATGACAAAACTAGCTCATTTGTTGGTCGGCAGTAATCGCCGACCGTCCTGACAGAGATCTTCGTGACGACTTCAAATACCCAGCCCGACTGATCCACCGTCATCCGAGTGTGCCGAGCCGCTCCACATGCATACATTTCGTATAGTCCAACATTGGTTACCTTGGTCAGCCCAGTTGTTCACGCTCCGTTTATGCACATATGGAAGTCGTTTTACGTCCCGTTCTTAGCGCTCGGGGAAAGATTGTTATAATTGGCACGACAGTAGAGAAGCCGTGGTGATGAGCCGTCCCAAGGTAGTGTATGCCGTCCCAAGGTAGTGCACGCCGTCCCAAGGTCGTGTATGCCGTCACAAAGCCGTGTATGCCGTCCTAAGGCTATGCATGCCGTCCTAAGGGCATGCATCCCGTCACACGTTCGTCTATGCCGTCACAAGCTCGTCTATGCCGTCACAAGTTCGTCTATGCCGTCACAAGTTCGTCTGTGCCGTCACATGTTCGTCTATGCCGTCACAAGCTCATATATGCCGTCACACGACGTTCGTCTATGCCGTCACACGTTCGTCTATGCCGTCCACCTACGATCACTCCATATCGTATGAAACCGTTGCTCAATGTTCCTAGCATTCAGGCAAGATCGCCTGCACCCGCATGCGTGGGTGCAAATGATACTGCACCCCGTCTTTCAGTGTCGTACGTCGTGATCAGTCGTCCGAAATCACGGAATCTGAGAAGTAGGATTGTCAGTTCGCCGAATAGGACAAAAACATGTTTGCAGTTGTTAACCGTCATCGTGTTCATGTTCTAAATGTCCAATTACTTGCAAGATGGTCATCAGAGGAGGCAAATAGACGCGGCAAGATTGATCATGACTGTTGACATCACAAGGTTGGTATCATCACAACTCGAATGCAGTTATCACCAGACCGAGTGAGTTATACTAGCACTCCACCATTTGGTGTGGCAGTGCCATCGCTCTTGGCGCACCAAATCGCTGTGGCGATCCCCATATAAGCATTGAAAAACTAGATCGACCAAGCCAAAGGCATTGGCATCGAAAGTTAAAACAAAACTCCCTGGACACATCCTAAAACACGGCCGCCACCCATCGCCACATCGACGACACTCCACCTGGACCGCCGACCGCGGGGCGCCGTCAGCGGACGTACACCAGTTTGGGGTCGCATGTGAAGCGGTCATGCGAGCCCTTGTCGTGACAAACGACGTGCACCAGGCGCAGGTTCTCCGTGGTGAAGAGCAGCCGGTAGAAGTAGTCGGAGTTGACCCGGCGGTGCGGTCCGGCCGACTGAGCGGTCTCCACCAGCGTCGGCAGGATCGTCCGCGACCTCTCGATGCTGCCGGGGTAAGCGCCAGGTCAAGGTCATAGGTCACGGCGGTAGACAACAGGGGACGGCGCCTCACGACGACGCCCACGCTGTCAGAGATCAGGGGTCACGGCGGGGGTCAGATCGGCACGTACCGCGGCGGCGGAACCGCGCGCACGACCGTGCGCTACCGTTCCGGGTCATCGCGTGGTGACGGCCGGAGCGATCGGAGATGACAACGGAAGCCCCGGCCGCTGACGTGCGTCACGCTCCACCGATAAGCGCGGTCGGCCACGGCCGCGCCGCAGCCACGGCCGCGGCCGACAGAGCGGCACCCGGCCGCGATCCCCTCCACACAGCGCCGGCCGCCGCCCGCCAGGCCGTACCGGTGGTCCAGGTTCCACGTGGAGAACACGATGCGCTGCTCGCGGCTGCTGTAGGGGTTCACCCGGTGGTCGTCGTAGCCGCACCGCTCGGCGGCGAACTCGCCCTGGCAGGCGAACGTGCCGGCCGCGTCGCACAGCCGACCGGCGTGGCCGCGGTCGAAGCGGTGCCCGTGGAAGCGGTCGGCGCGCAGTCGGTCCAGCATGTCTGACAGCAGCGACGTCAGCAGCGGCTGCGCGGCGGCCGGCGCGGCGCGCAGCTGGTCGCGCGACTTGTAGAAGTAGCCGCGCACGCGCGCCTCGCACCGCCGCCGCATGTACTCCTCCTTGGTGGCGGCAGCCGTGTCCAGGCCTGCAGGCCGTTCGGACGGGGTCACGACAAAGTTCCGGGGGTGTGGTAGGGTATCGAAAAGAGAGCTGAAGGAGTGGCCATTCGGGATACAAGAGGACTTCTAGTGCGCTGCATTCAAAACGATAGCTATGAGTTGGGCGTTGAAGCAGAAAATAATATGCTATTCTGTCCCACTTTCGTTTCACAGAGCCGTAAATTTATTGGGCAAAGAAACACGACGCATGCCGTCGCGCACCCCTTCCGTACAGAATCAGCCACTGCAATCGCTATTTTAGCATTCTGGGGTCCTAGCGCACACTGGGTTCGAACTGGGCCCCCACGTGGGAGCCGAAGGCGGCGATCTGGGCCGCGTCGGGTCCGGTCGTGCCCACCTTGGAACCAGTCGGGATCGTCGGCCCGTCGGCTGAGTGCCGTGCGGCAGGGCCGGCCGGCAGGCGGCGCCAGCAGCGCGGCCGGCGTGCCGTCGTCGCGCAGCAGGGCTCGGATGCCGTCCTGCAGCTCGGTTGCCGCGCCACGTGCGCAGCAGCTGCTCCACCAGACCCACGACTGCCGGCGGCCGGCCTCGTCAGGCGGGTCGGCGCCGGCAGACAGGCACTCGGCATTGCGTGGGTTGGGTCAAGGAGGCGCGCAGAGTTGCGAATAGCAGTCACCCCCGTGCCGCCGTGATCGGTGCGGGGGCATGACCTGGCTCAGACCGGGGGTCACAGCCGGTGGTCACTGTGACCGATACAGCACAAAAATGGACGGGGGGAAGTGGCAGATAGGAGTCACCAGAATCCGGTAACCCTCCTCGCAACATCTCTGCTGGAGTCTTAACATAATTTTGCATAATGCTTTAGACGAGGCATTAGTATCATGGATGGAATAGTTGTGCGGTCTATCGTCCTTGTCTGGTGCGTTGGTATGTACGCAACGTTTTGGCCATTTTACTCTAAGGTCGTCATGGTTATTGAGTCCTGAGCAAGACCGGATGGTGCAAGGCTTTCAGCCGTGTAAATGTCAGGAATTGCTGGTAATCGAACCGAAGTCTCTTGATTATGAGTCCAGCGCTCTACCAACTGAGCTGGCTGGGGAGGATAGCTGCTCTTATGGTTAGCTCAGTTGGTGGAGCATTCTTTCCCAGATGTGCTTCCTGATTGGCTCAGTTTGTAGAGTGCTGGACCCGCGGTCAGAAGACCTCCTTTCGAATCCCCATAATTCCACGGAGAGAACTTGCCTTGTGATACAGACATGGCTGAAAAGTGCACTAACATCCAATCCTTACCAGGCTTCTATAGCACCTGACGACAACCGGTGACCTACATGGCAGCAACAATGTGCACGCACTAACACAAAAGACAATGGAGATAGTCCGAGCGACTTTTTCATCGGGTTCTCAACAGTTGTGCATGTCCACAACCAGGGTAAGCCAGAGAGGCACAGACGAGGCGCGCTTGTCCCCGTCGTGCAACCATCACCATTGTTGGACTTACTCGCAGTCGGCTGCAATGACTCGCCAGCCTTCAGAAGTACAACCGTGGTTTGGTTGTCTAGCACGTCGAAATAGTCCTTGTCGACCAGCGTGCCGTCCGGCAACGAGAGATAGAAACACCTTTCCGGCTGATCTGGAAGGAGGGAGATGTCTGTTTATTTCACGTCCAAGAACAAACACGCCACATACACGGATGTTGCCACACAACGTGTCTACAGATCAGCTGTACGCTGATGAGGGATTTCAAGGATCGTGGAGAGCACCTGCACTGCCGATCCGTGGGTTCAAAAACAGTTCATCCTAAAAAATATACAAGGTAATGAATGTTTGAAATCTCTAGAAACCCTGAGTGAGACAAATCGGTACGCGGTGAGGTTGGCTGGTGGTCAGCAGCGTTTGAAGTCCGTCTTCCAGGACAGACTGGAGGGTACACGCTTACTGCGCGGCGTTCCCACGCTTATGTTCAGATCGCCACTGCTCGACAAATGGCCGGAAAAAGGCGTGCTTAGGTCTGGTACTTTCAGACAACGAGAACGGCAAATTTCGAAATATTGACAATTTTTGATGACCTTGACCAAACATTGCGAAAAGGCACATTTTCGGTCCACATCGGTCAACTATGGACCGGCTTGGACTGGACGCCTGTGTACTTTTCATGCTGGAATCTCTCGGCTCGGCCGGAGGTGTGATGAAGTCGAGACCGGCCTCGACACAGGTGACGTTGACCGCCTCTCAGTCGCCTACTGGTGCACCTGTGAGTCGGACGTTATGGAGACCGCGACGCCAGGGTCAGCAATATCTTCGGCCGCCTCAGCCCACGCCGTTTGTTTTCTGACTTTGTAAATGTTACGTCTGCGTACCGAATAGAATGATGAACTTTTGTTCAAATTGCCATGCTGCAGGAAGGTCACGCCTGATTGCAGATGGTGTGAGATGCCTCACGGTTTATGCAGAACAGCTGAGGGAAATGCGCCTTTTGTTGTTGACAACCGTATGAATCTGCGATCAGTCGCTTCCAAAATATGATATTCCAGAAAGGATGATGGCAGAACCGAGGCCGGGTACAGCACCCACGTCAAAGCTTTCTGGCCGTTCGAACAAGATTTGTTTGGGCTACCCTCTCGCTTCAATCAATACTAGTTGATGCCTCCCAATGCATTAGCAGTGTTAATGATACATTAGAGGTTATGACACATCAGTAGTTGTGATGCATCAGGCATTTTGAACATAAGGTGTTATAATACATTAGTGTTTATGAACATCAGGTGCTGTGATAATCCCACTGCTGCCAAGGCCTTTGAAACACCATTAGTAAGATCTGCAAAGACAATTCAAACGTTTTTTCCTACCTAAGTGGGCAGTACTAACTCTCCATTCACTGAACTGATTGTCCTGGGCACCCACACAAAAAGTAAAACATTTAAATGGCTCATTTCAGAATTGCACACCCACCTGCAATCTTGCACATGCTTTGTTTATCAGGTCACTGAAAGATGAAGCAGCAACACCAATTTTTCTCTTGTTGCCCAAAGACGTGACCTTAATCCCTTTCAGCCTCTGCTTCCTACTAGATCGTGCAGTGTCATCACCAGCATCCATGGTGATAACACCTGGAAAGGAGAGAGAGGGTGTGATGCTTAATTATTTACAAATAATCATAACATGACACATGACATAGGTGTCATGCATACTGTGTTATATCTTCATCCCCCTCCCCTCCAAAAAATGAAGCTGTCTTCATCCAACACTTGGACTCCAATGTCTTCACAGTACCACTCTCTTTTCTCTCACCCAGATCCTTTTAGGGCTGACTACATAGGGGGCTGTACAGCACTTACATTGTGCATGGAGGGGGAGGGATAAATGGAAGGTTACCCAAGTGTGAGAAGATAGGATTTAGGGAACAGTGTACATTACACCCAGGAAAGGACTAAGGTTGCATGTCACCATAAAATCACAAAGGGAGTACTCGGCACATGTGTGTAGTTTTGAAGTAAAAGTCATCTTAGAGATATATGAGGACTATATTTACTAAATAGAGAAATCATGCTGTCTAAGAGCAGTCTTTTTCATGTAAAAGTATATCAGTACATTGGTCTAAAAGAATATCAGCCATTGTAAATGAATTAATTTATGATATATGATGCATGCTACACTAACCAAATGCGGACTTTTCCATTAATACAGGCAAAACCAGGGTAGGAATTGTTAAAATTGGTGTTTTACGCTGCAAGGTTATATTTTCATCTGTTGACGTTTTCAATGCATCACATGGATATTGGTTACACTGGAAAATGGCACCTGACAATGCAATAAAAATTGTTCATTACTTGAACCTTTAAAAACATCAGACACATAAGCAATCCTAAAATAGGGTGTGGGTGTACTTTCCTACCTAACGTTAGAAAAAATCATTGCACACCATTCGTCGTGTTCAAGGCGGCACATATCGTAAATCATCTCAAAACAGGTAGAATCATGCTCCTACCTTCGAATCTCAATAACTTCGATGGCGAGCTCCCGAGCGCCGCGCGCACCGCACCGCCTGGACTCCCAGCGCCGTTTCTGCTTTGCCGTTGCGTAAATACAATATTTCTGCTTACCAAGAACTCTACAAAATGTACGGGACCAAGGTAAACCATTCGTCGTGTTTAAGGCGGAACATATCGTAAATAATTTCAAAACAGATAGAATCATGCTCCTACCCTCGAATTTTAATAAATACGATAGCGAGCCCGAGCGCCGCACGCCCCGCACCGCACTGCCTCGACTTCCAAGCGCCGTTTCTACGTTGTTGCGAAAGCACAAATATTTCTGCTTATCAAGAACCATAAAACATGTATGGAACCAAGGTAACAATAATAAAGCAACCAAATCGTTCTTATCGAGTTAGGTACATTTATGAAATACGCAGGCCGGAATAGTCCAGAACATATCCTAACCTAACCTAGCCTAGCCTAGCCTAACCTAACCTAACCTAACCTAACCTAACCTAACCTAGCCTACCTAACCTAAAACCTAACCTAACCTAACCTAACCTAACCTAACCTAACCTAACCTAACCTAACTGAGAATAGACCAGAACCTAAGCTAAGCTAAGCAAGCTAGCCTGACCGCCTGACGACCTGACCTGACTAACTAACCTAACCAACCTAACCTAACCTACCTAGCCTAACCTAACTAACCTAACAGTCTACCTAACCTAACCTAACCTAACTAACCTAAACCTAACCTAACCTAACCTAACAACCTAACCTAACCAACCTAACCCAACCCAAACCTAACCTAACCTAACCTAACCTAACCTAACCTCCCCACCCTAAATCCCCTTCAACCCAGCATCCATTGGCATCCATGTTCCATGCCATATATAGGTGCCATATAGTGAGCTTTTATTTAGCTGCCATGTTCTCATTTTGCTTTA